GTAATTTTTTTTCTCAGTGCAAACACTTTAATTTAAAATAAAAAAATTTTACTTGCTTCAAGAAAATTATTTTTTTGAGGGGTACCTGAAACAAATTTATTTGTTTTAAGTAATTTTTTTTCTCAGTGTAGGTAAAAATGTTGTACAATATTATAAGGATGTCATTATGACTTTATTTATCACTCGTAAGTCGAAAATAATGTAAGAATTGACATCATTATCACATTAATTGCTTTTATACCTACATGTTTTATCTGAGAGTGTTCTTTGGATAGATTTGAACCTGGACTTTCGACACAGAAAGCTGCTGCATAGCTCCTCGCACCACGATCGCCACACTCGTGTTTCATATTAGAAATATATTATTATATTTTTAATAACGTAAAAACATAAAGCATAAAATATCTTATGCATGGATGCATTTGTCTGCATTCATGTGAATACCGTGTACGTAAAGAAAATAGAATTAAATAAGAAACTGCAAATATCTTTTAGAAATAACCATTTTGTAATGTTATTTTAATGTTCTTCTTGTCAAATTTTTCCATTTATTTTATAAACGCAGTCGTAAATTCCATCAATTTTTAATGCATTTAGAATTAAAACTATGTCCTAATAATGCTCACAAGAACCAAACAAAATATTTACAATAGATTTACTAAGATTTAATACTTGTGCATTATTTAATGTCAATAAAGTATTTAATACTAATATCGTAAATATATGATTTAAATTTGAACACAACAAATAACGGCTAAAGCATAAATAACGGAGCAGACAGCATTACATTCAAAAATTTTTAATCCAATTAATTACGAAAGGAGAGATACACTCATGCAAAATTTCTCAGTCAGATATACACTGAAAAAAATTAATAATGCTTTCTATTTTTAATGCTAAGCTATCTTTGATATACTATTGACAACATTTTATCAATCAAAACTATCATTCTTGATAGGATATAAATTATTGCAGAATTAAATTAACGTTTAAAAACATTTATTACGCGCGTCGCATTTTTTGTCTTAACTATACCAGAGAAACACATTTACGAAACTCTTTTGTCGTCTCAATTCAATCGATATTGAGAAGTATCTCGATAATTATCGTTATTCGATATTTAAAAGCTCTGATATTTTGAAAAGTATAATCGTAAAGTTTGTTGTAGAAACATGTATAATTGTAATTAGCAAAATGGGTGAAAAATAATTAAATAATAAGTTATATGCTCAAGCTTCTGAAAGTAAATATAATTTAACTTGATAATACATACACATTTGTATATGTATATATAATATACGATTACGCGTATCTAAATACAACTACATATACATACACGATCAATACATACTTATGTGTGCATATGTTTTTACACAGATATACAAATTTGCAGATATAATCCAGAATACGTTATATATATATGTATGTATATTTTTTGTAAAAGTGCAATATAAATAAAGCGCCAAATTGATTCGTAATCTTATATAAAACAATAATAAAACGATTCTTCTTTTTAATGCAGAGCTCACTCAATATCGCAATAGCGTGCATCTGTAATAAAGAGCGATGAATATGTTACGCACTTTTTACAACAAGAATTTTTACACTTCTGACTTTCCTTTTTGCTACTTCTTACCAGATGTTACGGATAGTATCCAGTCTATGTAAGCTCCTGTACGTGTATTTATAGCAGGCTCATCTGAAGCACATCCTGTACCGCCAACTATAATGCCAGCCAAAACAAGCCTCTTCGTGTTAGGATTCTGCCATAGAAGAGGTCCACCACTGTCCCTCTACATAAAAAAAAGAAACTATGATTGGTAAATAATTTTTACATTATAGTTCTTGAATAACACATTTTGCACATTTAATAATAATATTTAAAACAATAAAAAATGATCTCTTCACCTGACAAGTATCCTTTTTCGGAGTATAAGTACATATGTTACCGTTGGTTACAGCAGGATAAGTATTGCTGCATTCTTGAAGAGATATTATATTTAAATCCACTTTTTGTAGCGTTTTCGATTCACGGCCGGCATATTCCGTTAAACCCCATCCTAATAATTTAATGAAATTAGAATAGATAATTGTATCAATCACTATGAAAAAACTGAGAAAATACTAACCCAACGC